TAAACAATAATTAATATTATTAAATTTATTGTTAGTAATTAAATATAGAGAGAGAGATATAAATGATAAAGTTTGTAACGGTTTTTAGAGGGAAATCGAAATGAAGTTTTATTGAATATTTTATTAAATGCTATTAGCCAGCAATTATATATATATATATATAGATAGATTGAGCCAAAATGAAACTCCAAAAATATGTAATGATCGAAGGTAATAAATGACAAAAAATTATTGAATTAAAATTGCATCTTTTTATAAAAAATAGAGGGACAAAAAAAGTGTAAAGCTAAATTTCCACCCGCATGCATGTTTGGTTATATACTTATATATACTAGTGTTGATACCTGTGCGATGCACGGGGTACATTACAAAAAATATTTTTTTATTTAAACTTAATTTCTATTTATATATATATATATATATATAATTTTTTTTATATCATTTAAATTTTTAATATATAAATTTTATTATTTATAAGTTTATAAAATATTATAAATGTATAAGATTATATGATATTTGCATACAAATTACTTGTATGTACTTAAAAATTTATCGTTTATCATAGTCTTATAATTTTTTCAACAATTCATAATTTGCACATTGTTTGATAATTGACCAACGTTTAACCCATAATATTTATCTTCCGCTATAATTATTAAGTGCATTAAATGTTAAAAGCTTTGATAGATAAATTGTAATTATTATTCACTTTAATCCTTATGCAACACACAAATTTTTAATGGTTACATATTTTATTTTTATATTTTCATTTTTTATTTATATTTGTTTCTTTAATTTATTTTTTTAACCTATATGATGAGTTACATAGTATCTATTCGAATATTTAGATATATTATATATTTTCATAAGTACCAAGTGCTATAATTTAAATTATTATACATTACTATTTTATTAACTTATCTTTCATTTATAAACTAGTATATAAGAAAAAATATATATTTTCAAAAATTGAATAGTTTTTTAATGTACATAGATACTTCTAAGGTGAAATTTATAATTTTGAATTGCACCCGACCATCAAATTTTATTTTTATTAGTATATTGTTTAAATTTTCAATAGTATTCTCACTGCATATGATATATTCAATGGGGATGTACCTTTTTATAGTTAAATGAACTATATTTCAGAAATTTTTATTAATATTTTAAATTAGTTATTAAGCTAGTATGATTTAAACATAGTTATTCCGATTATTTTATTAAATTTTTAAGTACTTCTGAATAGTGAATATAATTAATTAAATTAATACCTACAACCATAGATGATAATATATTTAATCAAATCAATTTTCATAATAATTTTTTTTGAATTGTATCAATAAATTACTATTAAATTAATGTAAGATCTTATTGAAATATATCTAATCAATCTATAGTCAAAATTTTAATTTAAACCAATTTGTAGTTAATGAGCAATATTCATTGAGTGTATAAAAATTAATTATGTTTTTCATGCATAATATTTTCTAATAAATAAATATTAGTTAAATTCCAAATATAGATAAAAAAAAATTCTCCCCAAAATTATGTCAATTATGACAATAAAAATTGATTTATTATATAGATATAGATATAGATATAGATATATGTCATAACTCATAAAGCTTGAAAAACTAACTACTAATAAATTTGTAATTATATCTATGATAGCCCTCAAATTGGAATTTTTTTTTTTTTTTTGATNCAAAACAAATTGGAATTAATATCTCCTCAGTCAATCAATTAGTTACGTGTCAATATTTGCCTCTCTGGAAATTGATTCTCAATGAGTTAATTTCACTGTTATTCAATAGTTAATATAATTCATATTTGTTAAAAGGGATTTTCGTAAGTTTAACAAAATATTAACTTATTACAATGACAGAGTCAAAAACTTTAAATTTTTCAACCATTACACTTTTACAGTAATATATGCTAATAATCATTCCATTAAAAATGATCCACATTCGATTGTGTGGTTCGGATCGTCAAATGTCCTTATAAGTCTATGATAGACCTAACGTGATATTGTGTTGAATAGTCAATTATCCTTATGATTCATGATATTATAAAATATATTTGGAAGCCAAATATTTGAGGCACCGACTAACTTTATAATGCACATTATATATGAAATCTATCATGTGCGGATCTAGCTCATAAAATGAGTGAGGACCTTCTTATTTCTAGAAAACAAATATAATATATCGTAACAAAGTATAAATATAAAAATACATATTCATATAAATTCTTATGAGTTTTCATAACTTGGTATATAACTATACAAAATGATAAGTCTTTATATTTTCTTTCGGCCTAACAATATTATAATTCACCTCAAGTATATTTGGAACAAATGTAGCTAATTTTGAAATATTTGCACATGCACTTTTTTTGTCAAGACTGTTTATAAAAATATTTCTCCATAATTTGATATAAAACAATAAATTATAATCTATAAAATGCTTTATCTAATATATCAAACTTTTAAGAGCCCCACAAGTTACGAGTCACACATAAATTTAAATATGTTAATAATCTTTTAAGAAATAACATTCAATCAACTACAAGTTTCAATTTTTAATTTTTATATCAAATCTAATAAAAAGAAGGACTAGATTAACTTTCACCAAAATCAACAAGAACATTGATTTATTTCTCCCATTATCTCTTTTTTTTTTCTTCTTTGTGTTCTCGTTGTTGTTGTTTTTTTTTTTAATTTTATTAATGAAGTATTAAAATATTTTTTGAGTAAGATATTGTTGTTCATGAGATAGATAGATACCTTCCTCTCTTTTGTACAAGTTGTTGACATCCGATCTGCTGAACCTTTGATCCAATCTTGCAATTCGCTTCGTTCGTTGGATCACTTCAATTCTACTTTTTTCATCTCATATAGCTGCAAAATGAAGCAACTGTGATCTACCTGTTTTTTATGACTCCAGAACGTTCCGCGACTTCCTATAAGGTCGACAAATACTTTTTTTCCGTGTGGGGCTAGACCTACACTGGGCCCTATAAGGCTACGCCTTGAATTCTACCGTAAGAATAGTACATCGCTCTTATATATAACTAGTATCGATACATGTGCATCGGAATATATTTTAAATAATAATATTCATATTTTATTATTAATTTTTTTTTTGTTTTTTAGAAGATATATATTTGACTGTTTAATATATGTAATTTTTTTCATAAGTTTATAAAATATTGTGAATGCCTCTAATGTTAGGTAAGATATTTATATATAAAACTATTAATAACTACACAAACCAAAAATCATATTTGGTTGAATGAAAAATTTAGCTCATCAGATTTATTTTGTTTTACCAAATTTGTTATTGACAATTGTATAAAATATCATCCATTTGATAGTTAAATTTTGCTTTTAGAAATTTTATTTATTTTAACTTTATTTAATGGTTATATTGTGATGCTATCTTTCGGTATATATAGTTCATATGTTTTCATTTTATTATTTTATGAGTACCAAATGTAATACTTTTAATTATGGTACTTGATTATAAATTATTTTATTTATTCATCTTTGCTAACAAATATGTTAATAAACCTAATTTTCTCACAAATTGAATAGTTTTAATATATATATATATATATCCACCCGTCTACAATAATAATTATAATAAAATATATTTTATCCACATATCAATAATTTTATATATAAAAATGATTTACTTAATATATATATATATAGACACACACATTATATTGATATTTTCGGGCAATATTATAATTTAACTAATTTTGATACATTTTAAATTAAGTTTCTGTTAGACGAATCATACTTCTCAACATGAGAAATTAATATTATCATTTTATAAAGAATAGCATTTTTAACAACTTTAATATAAAAACATGAGTGTCATTTTAAATTAATTATCACTTTGTTAGTTATTTATTATGTTGTATATTCATTATACAGAATTTTACAATAAAAATAAAATTTATTTTAAATTTTTATTGTATAAATATTAATATATTTAAGTACTAGTGTAGTACACGAATATCATACTCGTAAATTAATAAACATAAACTAATTTATCAAACCTAATTGATATACATTTTTTATAAGGAATATTAGATACAATGAGTTAGAACACTAGTATACTTGTTTGACACTCAGCAGATAGCTAATTAAATTATCTAACCATTGATAACAATTTGAATTCTACTAGTTTATTAGAGAGTTGACTATTTAAAGTGTTTTATTTTTTTTCTTAGTTGTTTCATCTATAAAATTAACTAAAATATTGTTAATATATTCTAAAAGGCTCTTAAGTATTTGTTAAAATTAAATTTTTAGATTAAAAAAAAAAACTGTTTTCAACTACCAAACAATAATATTGCAGGTTCTAATGTATCAAACATCTAATTAATCCCCTAATTTTTAATTTAACCCGAAATGTCATTACCAAACAAGGTCTATAGCCTAAGACAAACATGTGAGAACATAAATTCAAATTTTATTTTATTTTCTAATAATCTTTTAATATATAAATTTGTTAATTAAAACCTTTGTAATTGACTATTATTTTAGACGAAACATCTTATAATTAATTATCTCTAGAAATTTAGTGAGATAAAACTCAAATCATTGTTTGAATAACTAATCGTATTTAAATTATATCAGTACTAATGTATCTCTGATGAAGACGAGACCGCCATCGCATATTTAAATAAATATGACCGACTTCGGGTTTAGCCTGCTTACTTCTCATTATTATTAGTGCTATTTTATTTTATTTTCTTTAGCTATTTATTAAACTTGGTAGGAAAATAAATATCTTGCAGTGTTTGGCAAGATGACGATTCTCTTTCTTTCCTTTTCTTATTTATTCTGATGTACGAACGAGAGAAAGCAGATTATTGTGAGTTGAAATAAAACTTGTGGTTCGTTCTTTTGAGAGAGTATCTCAAATTCTGCCCATTTGTACTACGTTCTACATCAGTTGGTATCCAGAGACCAGCAGTGATCCACGATGCCGCCGAAGAGAGGAAACGGCAACATCATTGAAGAACGATTCCAGAGGATAGAAGATCGATTTCAAGGGATGGATGACCGTTTCACTGACATCAACACCGGGATCGAGGAATTGCAACATGCTATGCGTACCATGATGACAGAGGTTCGTACGAACCGCGACGCCAGCGACCGGGGCGCGCGCGGAGGGTTTCGCGGAGGTAGGGGAGGACGCGGCTTTGGCAGGGCGCCCCGCCAGCAGCAACCACTGCCTCTGTCTGGCGATGAGGAGGATGAAGAGACGGTAAGCCTCGATAATCCGATCGCGACGGAGCAACGCTGCGGCCATGGCGGGCATCGTTGGCACCCTGAGTTTGCGGGTAGCGGAGATCGAAGGCGCGAAGCTAGGGTTTACCATAGGGACGGGTTCGAGGATGATGACAGTACTGGAGAATTTGACGAGGGTACAGGCTCGGATTTTGATGACGACAAGGTTCGCGGTCGTGGCTGGGGCGGTCGCGATCGGGAATTTCCGCGACGGGCAGCGTACGGTAGCGGTGGGGGTTTTGAGCGATTTGGTCAGTACCAACGTGACGGCAGGCGCCCGATAGAACGGGGCGATGAGTCACGATGGGAAGCGGGTTTAGGGTGGATATTCCAGAGTTTGCAAGAGGCGTGGACGGCTCGGATTTTATCGAGTGGTGGGCTTCGGTTGAGGCTGTTCTTCGATTTAAGGGGGTCCCGGAGGATAGACGAGTTGCTTTGGTTGCTACTCGTTTTCGAGGTCGAGCGGCAACGTGGTGGATGCAACTCACGAGCATGCGACATCGTCAAGGGAAACCGGAGATCACATCGTGGTAGAAATTTCAAAAATATGTAGAGCGTGAGTTCGTGTCGTACAATTACGATAGTCTTATGTATCAACAGTTGCAGAACTTGCAACAGTGATCTCGATCGGTGGACGAATACACGAACTAGTTTTATAAACTCCTCACTCGTGTCGAACTACGGGAGTCCAAGAATCAGTTGGCGTCCTGCTATGTCGGTGGGTTACGTTCGTCAGTGCGTGATATGTTGAAACTTTTCTGCCCAGACTCTGTTTCCGATGCCCACCAACGGGAACTTCTTGTTGAGGTTCATTTTGCACACAAGACGACAGTGGCGACGGGGTGGTCGTCGCGCCCAGGGGGATCCGCGGGCGGCGCAGTGATACCGACACGACCAGTGGTGGCGACGGGCAGTGGACTAGGCCAGGGAGCGGCACCGGCGCATGTGGCAGGGTCAGACAGGCCCTACCAGCGGGCTACAGGGGGCGGCGGACAGCAGCTCTCACCGGCAGCGGCGCGTGCAGTGGCCAGGCTTCGGTGTTTTGGGTGTGGCGAAATGGGCCATCGTCAGGCGATCTGTCCGAAGGGTGCGGCGACGCGGGTCTTATTTACGGAGGATGTGGGAGACTATGTCCCGGCGAGGATTATGTGGGACCGCCGGTTTACGATGTCGACCCAGGGGAACTTGAGGAATATGACCGGAGACGTGGGGACGACACTGGTCATTCGCCGTACGTGTTTTGTACCGCGGGGGTCGAGTGATACACCGGTGGAGAGACACCATCTGTTCGAGTCTACTTGCACAGTCGGTACAAAGGTGTGTCGTTTTATCATTGACTCGGGCTCGTGCGAGAATGTCATATCTTAGGAGGCGGTCGACAAACTACAACTCTCTACCGAGCCTCATCCACAACCGTATACTCTCTCTTGGATACAGAAAGGTACGTCAGTTACTGTTGATCGTTGTGCACTTGTTTCTTTTTCAATTGGTACCAAATACCGTGATCAGTTTTGGATCAGTTACTAAATTAATTCTAAATCTGGTAGCAAAATTTCAAATGTGTAACGGCTAATGTTGGAACTAAAAGTTGATTGGCATATTCAGAGCTGTAACCGCTATATTTGGTTGCATTGTTGGAAGAAAAATATGATTGACACATTTTTTTTTTCTAAAAATCAGAAACACCAATAATTTTTTTTATTTATGTTAATTTTATTAATATATGGTACAAATATATAAATTATTTTATTCATGTTACTAATGTAAACGTTGCATGGTTAATATAAAATTTAAATCTCAATTAATTTTGAATGATAAAAATAACTTAAGAAAAAGTAATAATTTTTATATGATATAAGTACATGTCTAATTAATAAATATAAATAAAAACGTATTTTATATCTATGCAAATGCACAGGATCAAATAGCAAGAAAAGATATTTGGCACCGATCAAAAAATAGAAAAGATATTTGGCAATCCTTTTACTATATATAGCAAGCTGTAATATATGCCTAGACCAATTCAATAATGGTAGTTCGATATATAACTAGGGCCCAACGGCCCAACCTCTAATTATGCGAAAACAAAGTAAATGATTCCGTTTCGAAAAAAGATAGCAAGGGCCCAATCTCTACTTATGCTTCGTTTACTAACCCCACTACTAGCTACTATTAGGTCCACTATTTACTATTACTCTAATTTAATCAATTGACACTAGTACAAATCCTGTGCAAGGCACAGGTAAGAAATATTTATAAATTAAAAATATTCATTAAATAATATTTATAAATGAAAAATATGAAATCAATATGTAATACAATTTATCTATATTAATTTACATAAAATATTATATGGAATTTAAATTGTGCAACATTACATAAAATATGTCTATTTAAAATTAGCACATGACCCCTACGGTGCAAGTAAATGATAATAAGTTACATTATATTCATTTCAAAATAAGTGTCATTTTGAATTTTTTTTGTTCAGAAATTCGATTTGACTACAATGTGATTTCATAAAATATTTATTTTGATAAAATCTTATCGTATATTTTAAAGTATATGTGAATAATAAGTATAATTATAAAACCCATATAGTTTCATTAGTTAAAATGAATTTATTTTTTTATAAGCTATCCAAATGAAAAAAAAAATAAGTAGTTGAGTAATTTATTAAACTATAAATAACTGACTATTCTATTTACGTCTAAGTTAATATTGACTCGTAAGTTATGACTAATTACTTATTAGCTTGCAATTATCTAGATTTGTTGTCTCCTTGTTGGTTACCTTATCGTTCAAAATAATTAACTACTTCTCTATAATTAAATTACAAATTTTAAATTTTATAAACCAATATTTTTTCAAAGGGCTTTCTTATTTTCAAGAGGAATACATACTAATTTTCCTAATTATCATCAATATCTTATGACAATTTAACATAAAAATATGCTAAAATTTAAGAACCATATCACCTTGATTTTATTACAACGTAAAATTTGACTTTCATACACCTACCAAATAAAATTCAAACCACTTATTTTATTTTCAAAATTTCTAAATACACTTCTATACATACCAAAATAAAATCCCCACTTTATATCATAAATTCAGACATTTATTATTAACAATACATTTTCTACCAAAAATAAAAATAGCCATCAGATACCTCAAATAAAATTGCCCACTTATACGAAAATCGGATTAATTAATTTTGCCAACTTTATACAATAAATTGATTAATTAATTTCTAGAGGCGGACTATTTTTGAAAATTTTCAAAAAAAATTAATAAGTTTAGTAATTTTTAAAAATTTTAGGCGAAATTTTAGTTCATATTAAATAGATACAAACCTTTTTATAAACCTTGTTATAGATATATAGATATATATGAATCAAAATATGTGAGCATCCATAATGTTTTGATTTCAATCACAAAAATTTGTATGCCACCTCGGAAATAGACTCAGTATAGAAAAATATGTCATCCAATGCAAGAACAAGTGGACTGGGTCTTGCTGATGTTGCAACAAAAAAAAAGACTCGGTCTACCCTTAAGTCCATTTTAGACCCAAGTAGAGACTTAGTCTCCTTGCATTGGAGTAAATTTTGTTAATCTTATATATTTTTGTCCATGTCATCCAAGACTTAAGTTCATTTAAATTCTACATAGACAAAACTAGACCTAAAGAGCATTGCAGATGGTCTAATGTGCGATTCTAGAATCTACTGCAATAAAATATATCTCTTAATATATGCCAATATTTCATTTTGTTTGACGATTATATTAGATATGGTAGAAATTTAAAAATAAATATATATTTGTGATACCTCTGATTTTATTCTAGGAGTTCAAAAATATCATTTGATTTTATCAATAACGATACCAAACCAAATTTTTATAAATTCATATTGTGATTCACAATATCATAACAAATCTCATGTAAATTACTAGATTAGAGAGAATAATTAAAATATTTATAATATTATAAATTAAAAATAAAATAAAATTATATTTACGTAATTAAAAATTAATAAATTTATTTAATTTAAAAATAATATATATTACAATCTTTTTCAATTAAGTGTTGGTTATAATATTTGCCACAAATTTTCAACTTTAGCCTACCTTATTTAATAATGGAAATAATATATTGTAACAAAGTATGAGTGTGAGAAGACAGATTGAGAGAAGTATTATGTGAATATTATTTATTAATAATATTCAAATATGTTAAATTTTCATTATCCATAACTATAAACATAATTTAAAATGAAAACTATTTATAACAAATGAAATAAACATATAAATCATATATTAAATTATTATATATCATAAAAAAATAATTATTAATATTCAAAAACATTTTGGTAGTAATTATCAATATTCCTTCATCGTTTTAATACATGCAATTATAATTATTGCCACGTGTTACGTACTAGTTAATAAGAGCATCTCCAATACTCAATGTTGTAGTGCTAAATTACATTCCACATCAACACATTTATTAATATCACAACTTTTCATCCTCCAATGTATAATATGATCACAAATGTTGTGATGAAGTGGACATAATTAATGTCTACAATGTAGAGAAGAATGTGGTTCATCCACATTCTCTTCCACACTCTAGCTAGCCAATGAAGAGAAGAGAGAGAATTATTATTACTATTTTTAACTTATTTAATTATTTAATTAATTCTATTAATTCATATTAAAATTTTAATATTTTGTAAGTAGATAATTTTATAATTAGACTACATTGTGCATGAAATATGATTTTTTAATTTAATAGTTGTGAACTCAACATTTATCCTACATGGTTCACAATCTATTTAATTTTTGACATTTGTCAAAATTTATCATACAACAACATTAGAGCATTGGAATGATCATATATAGACAAATTACAGAACTTTTTCACAAAATCATTTATTGTTATCTTTTATGGACACAAACCGTCATCAGCATGCGTATTAGTCGAATAACAGATAAAATTGGTGCTAAACAAGCCAGTGCACTGGCTTTGGCCTATATTTTTCAGAATTCAAATGGTATTTGATTGCACAACATAATTGATAAAAATAAAGTATGGAATAGAATAATTAAGTCCACTCGTGCTTCGTCCATTCATATACTACTTGTGCATATGCAATCGATTGCTCTATGAAATATTGGAGTCTTGCTACTCTTCGAAATTGTTATGTAGGTTATAATTACCAGTTTGATACTTAGATCTAATGCAAGCTGTTATATTCTTCATGTGAATAATGGCTTTGAAATGATAGGATTTACGAATACCTCCACATGTACAAAGTGGCCAAGTGCATACGATATAAAGAGACGTCTAATATGTAGGACTACACTATATTGGTCACGTTGGGTTGATAATCATGAGATAATCATACTTTTTTTTTTTTTATTAATAAAAAAATACGTTTTTGTAATAGGTGTTTACGATTAAACAACTTAAGAGAAGACCTAAAAATGCTGATTTCTTGGTTTATGTTTAGAACTGTTAAATGAAACGAGTCACTCGTGAACTCGATTCTACTCAACCCAATAAAGCTCGAGCTCGTTTAGTTAATTCGAACCGATTGTCTCGTTTCAGCTCGATTTGTTAAGACCCACACATAGAGATTGTTATATATATAGTTTATATATATATATATATATATATATATATATGTATATATTCACCTTATCTCGGCACGAGGTAGGTCCTGAGAGCGGTATGTTGAGTTATCGACCTGATAGACTTAGGTGATCTGAGACCTCGGGTATCGAGCTGGTACGAAATAGCGCCTCTAGCTCTAGAGGGTGGTTCAGGGTTGAACTAGTGAGCGGGGAGAAGAGTGTTAAACGTGTGACATCTAATGAAAAGTATGATTATGAGGATCCTATAACTCTTGAATATATGGAAAGAGATCTATCACGAGAAGATGTGTATTTCCGGTTTCTTTAGGGGTAGAGTTCTTGGGGAACAAGGTAGCTATGCTCTCATAAAAGTAGAGGTATTGATTGTTATTACTTTACATTATGTTCATTATACACGCATATATTGGACAAATAGTCTAACTTGATCGTCAGATGCTCTATGTCTGGACTTTCTCAATGTTTTTGTAGGTGCTCAAAGGTTAGACACGATTTGGAGATTTTAAGAGAGCCAGTTATTCAAATTAGAGTTATTTGGTAGATTCTTATTATAACCGCTATATTATTAAGAACTAGTGTGTATCCCGTGCGGTGCACGGAAACAATATTAAATTAACAATATTATAAATAGACCTCGAGTTTGAGTCACTCAATGGCGGAAGTGGAAACTACTATTGATCCTATTTAAAAAGAGGAAGAAAAAATAATAA